AGCAACCCTAGGCACAACAGAACAAAACACTGCCCAGTCTGATGCCAACCTCAGAATCTTTGCTATGATGTACATATTTACATATATAAAGAATGTATGTACAGATATGAATGCCATACACGTACATATGTGGTAATGGTTTTAACAGTTCATCAGGGTGGACAGGCAAGACCAAAGTGTCCTGGGAATCCCAGGCTTAGTCACTCACTTAGCTACTGTACTAGACACAATATCATTTTGTGATTTTATGATGATGTGAAAAGGACAGGAATTTCTGATAAATCATTTTTTTTTTTTATAAGTTCTTAATGGAGAAATTGAGCATTAATGGTATTGTTTATCATTCCTGTGAAGATTCATCTCACAGAATAAAAAGTAGTTACTTTGTATTCTGTTAGATGATGTTTTTAAAATGTTGTTGACACATTTCCTAATTGCTTATTCATCCATGATAGCTTTTGTACTGAAATCAGGAGGCTGAGTTGTTGGTGCTTTGATAGCAGTGACTGTACTGACATGCCCTGTAGTGACGGTGTGTTGTCTCCTAGCGAACGTCCTGGAAACCCTTCGAGCTGACGGAAACGTGTTGATAGCGGTAGACACCGCAGGCAGAGTTCTGGAACTTGCTCAACTTCTTGATCAGATTTGGAGAACGAAAGATGCCGGATTGGGTGTTTACTCATTGGCTCTCCTAAATAATGTCAGCTACAATGTGGTGGAGTTTTCAAAGTCCCAGGTTTGTTTTCATGCTAACATTTATAATAAAGAAGGTTGTTTTAGTATCCACATCTGTAAAATGGGGATAAAAATAGAGCTTCATAGAGAATAACTGTTAAAATTCATTATTTTCTTTCCTTTGAATCCACTCTTTTTCTGTAAATAGCTGTCTCTGGGGGTAATCATCTCTTTGAAGCTCTAAGGTGATTTATTGGCATACATACAATAAGTAAAACAGTGCCAAATTAGGTTATTAGAGATGCATGTAGGGCGGGATCTAAACAGGTGCAGAGAGACTTGAGTATTGTTTGCAGAAAATAAGTTGCCTGTCAGGGTGGTACAGATATAAAGTATTTCTGCAGAGCAAAGGCATAAAAAAGATAGAACTTGAACTCACTGACTGTTGTAGTATGCATTGAAGATCCGATACAGTGTTTTCTAATTGATGTCATTTTCCCCCATTAGGTAGAATGGATGAGTGATAAATTGATGAGATGTTTTGAAGACAAAAGAAATAATCCATTCCAGTTTCGTCACCTGTCTTTATGTCATGGTCTCTCTGACTTGGCTCGAGTACCTAGCCCCAAAGTTGTCCTTGCTAGTCAACCCGACCTAGAATGTGGATTTTCCAGGGACCTCTTTATTCAATGGTGTCAGGACCCTAAAAACTCAATCATTCTAACATACAGAACGACGCCTGGAACCTTAGCACGTTTCCTAATTGATAACCCTTCTGAAAAAATTACAGAAATAGAGGTAAGCACTTGTCTGGAAACTTTATATCAGAATTGTTTTGAGATGTGATTATGGTTGTTATATAAAAACCCGTTATTCAAATTAAAAGGTGAAGTTGGTCTAGGGTTTTTATCAGAAGTGAGTATCTGAGAGCCCTTTCATTTGAAATTCGCTTCCTTGAGCCCTTCTATGGTACCCTTTTGTACAACCCCCAGAGAGGCTGAGTTCTCTGTCTCTCTTTGAAGAATTTCTCTGTTTCTCTTTTTGTATTCTTTGTCTCTTTGATTTTCTTTTACATCTTTTCTTTACTTAAAATCTTACTGTTTCCTGATTATATTCCTTCCCTGTAGCCCTGGAAAGTAAGTACACACTATCGTTTCATTCTATTCTCTTTCCCACACTATGTGCCTTAAGTGAGGTGGCTTTCCTTGTTCTGCAGTGGCTTAAAAAAGCTATTGCTCTCTGCTTTGCAGTTCACTGCAACAGGCCACGCAGTCTGCTAAGCCCTCCTTGTTTCTGACATTTGCTGATCTCTTGCTTATTCTGTCACTCGTTGAAGACTTAAGAACCGCGCTCACAGCCTTCCTGTCCTTGGGTCCCTAGGACTCCATTCTTGATGACTTTAGCACCCACCGCATGTAAGGTGGTTGGCACTTCCCAACAACTGCACTTCACAGTCAGCATTGTGTCTGTCTAGAGTCACCGGCCCATCATTGTCATCATTTTGCAGACACTATTTATTTATTTATTTATTTAATTTAAGGTTTTTATTGTGGATTGAGTGCAAGTTTACAAGGCACATCATCAGTTTCACATTCAACCATTCATATAACTTGTTCCATTACATTGATTATAATCCCCTCCATATACCATCAGTTAAAAGTATTTCTCTCTATCCACTTTAGCTTTTTTA